TCCGTCTATCGGGGCCTGTGATGGAGTTAGTCTGTGTCTGAGGCAGCCCCGGGGAGAGCGTGACGGTGCGTGTGTGGCACCGCGTGTGCCCGTGTGAGCGCGTGTGGCCGTCAGCATTCTATCTGGGGAGAACTGTGTCACAGGCGAAGCCACAGCGCTGCTGTCCTGGGCGGTCCCCGCGGTGCTGTCCCGGGCCGTGGGAGGCAGCGTGTGCCGTTCTTGCGGTGACGCACCCGCTTGTGGTAGAAGCGCGTGGCCGTCTGCAGCCGGGTCTCGTGTTCCCCCCGGGTCCCGGCCCTACCCGCGTGTGTGGGCGGCAGGGCTCCCGCAGTGTCCCCCACCCGGGCTGCAGCGGTGACTCAGGGGCTGGTTTGTCCTCGAGGACCGAGGTGAGCAGGACAGGCGCCTTTCAGAGGACTTTGCGTGGCAGATGCGGGAACGCAGACTCGGTTCCCGGGGTCTCAGCTGCCCCACCGTTTCTGCCCTGGCCAGAGGGTACCGGGAAGTCGCCCCCACCCGTCGCTGGGTGGGGCGGCCGCTTCCTGAGAGCACAGGAAGGCAGGGAGGGGCTTGGTCCTGGGGCACCCAGGGACACACCCAGAAATCACCCCTTACTCTCCCAGCCCCTCGCACTGCCGCTGTGGGGCTGTCCCCTGCCCTGTGCTGCGGGCCAAATGCGTGAAGTGCAGGCTTGCTTGGAGTGCCTCCCTGCGCAGGCTTCCGGGTAGACCCTCCTGCCTCTGCCTCCTCCTGGGCTCCGGGTGGCCCCTTACTCCAGACTTGGCCTCCGTGTTGGCCCCCCCAGGCCGTGCGGGGGTGTGGAGCACAGGTGGCCGCGGCCGCCTGCTCACGACGCCCCCTGCCTCCTCCCACAGGTTCGGGGAGGACCAGGCCCTCGTGCCCTGCACCAACTACATCGTCCAGCACGGCCGCACGGCAGGGTGCCTCCTGCAGGGCCGGGACGACGTCCTGAACCTCACCATCCGCGACGGGCCCCGCCCCGTGCTCTCCATGCGGCGCTGGGTGGCTGAATACCGTGAGTGCCCAAGGCTGGCTGCCGCCCTGACCCTGGGCCCCCAGGACCCGGCCCCACCCTAGCGCAGGAGCACTCGCTTTTCGTAATTCCCACCAGGCCTAGGCTAGGACAACCACACAAAGTCCTCCTGCCTCAGCCTCCCAAGTAGCTGGGATCCCAGGCATGCACCGCCACAGCAGCCCTTCTGGGCAACTTCACAAGGATTGAGGGCAGGTCGGAGGGGACAGGAGGCAGAGGCAGCGTGCTTTCCTGTGGTCTCTCCTTCCCAGTGAAGCCCAGCTCCCCGAGAGACCTGCAGTTCCTGTGGGGACAGGAGGCCGTGACCGTGCTGTGCTCCCCGCTGCCCCACCCGGGGCTGCTCTACGAGGTGCAGCACACGACCCCCCACGACACCCAGTGGCAGGTGAGACCCCTGTGCGCCTGGGCCACGGGGACAGTGGGGGGAGACTGGTCCTCAGAATGCCCAACCCCATGCTCACCAGCCCTGCGCTGCACATCCCCTGCCAAGGAATATGGGTCTGGGGGACAGGAAATCCCCTCCACAATCACGGCTCTGCAGAAATAGCCTCGTGTCCCTGTCATCCATCCACCCATCCA